GTCGCGCGATCGCAGGATCGCATGATAATACCCTCCCTTTCAAAAAGCGAGAAAGTGTCGGGTGCAGACCATACACCACAAGTGACGACGGCCTCCAAGTAAATCTGGTTAGTAGTGGTTCATAGTGATAGCTGATTTTTGGTAAATGATAGTTGTAATTAGTGACAACTGATAGAATACAACTGCAACAGGCTAATCATTTCATTGGCAGAAAACATTTACATTTTGTGAGGCCGTCGTCACTTGTGGTGTATGGTCTGCACCCGACACTTTCTCGCTTTTTGAAAGGGAGGGTACGTATTACTCCACGAAAAATCGCGGAATAGCAAGATCGCGAGCTATGATAGCGCCTTACAAAGTGCACTTATTGTTAGTTGAAGAGGATCTAAACGATACATATTAGCGTTGGTTACTTACAGTTTAGCTTTCATCTCATCCATCCACACAGCGACCGAATGCCCACGTGAACCTAATAGACCGTAGCCGTGACACAGTTTCTAGTGTGCCTTTTGTTTTGTGAGGTTTCCTATTCAGGTATGTCTTCCGTAATTCGAAGAAGCAGTACAGCGGAATTCCTGTAATCGCTTCAAATATGGATACGGTTGGCACATTTGAGATGGCAAAAGCGCTCTGCCCACATAAAGTATTCACAACTATCCATAAACATTACACGGTTCGTTTTATTTGGGTGTTTTTTATCTCTAATATAGTAATTTCTCAATTTCTTTGTGCTCAGTTTACCGACAGAGCAGCTGTACCTTGCGTATTGAGTGGTGCAGTCACATTTCACACTATAGATGCAATTAGTTTAGTTAGACGAGTGGAAAGAATTCTATGCGGAATTCAAGGAAACTCCAATGTTCAACCACGTCGCTGTCTCTTCAGGAATATCTGATCGCGATTTTGAGAAGGTACAGATTATCCTAGTGAGAGACTTGCTTTTGCATCTTGCATCAATTACGCTTTGAGGATCACTTGTGCGGTCATTCAGGTGTCTAATTTTGCGGCCAACCAGGTATCCATAGCAGAAAATGTGTAACCTTTGTTCCAGAAAAAGATTAGTTTCTTGGTACCAGAATGGAGGGCAGGCAATTGCTTGAGTGCGTGCACTACTTAGCTCCCCAATTACCGCCTCATTCATTTATAGCATTTTTGAGGAAAGCTGGTTTCATTCCGCGTTTGCCGCTTTCTGTGTTAGGGGGTCAATCTATGGTAAAGGTCCCATTGCCTATATGACGATAAGTGTCTGTCTCGTAGTGGTTTCTAATGGACCGAGTTATTTCAGCTGAAGGAAATATGTGACGAGGTGCCAGCTCTGGAATACATTTGTATTGATGTGGCCAACGGTTACTCCGAATATTTTATTGAATTTATCCGAAAAGTTCGAGAGGAGTTTCCAAGGTACCTATCCGATTTTTTGTTATCCTAATTCCAATGACTGACCAAAACCTTGTTCACTTAGGCATACCATTATGGCAGGAAATGTAGTCACGGGTGAAATGGTCGAGGAGCTGATTCTCTCCGGTGCTGATATAGTCAAGGTTAATAAATCCACTTTTTTTTCAACAGCCGCACGAATTGTTCTGTATTCAGGTAGGGAATTGGTCCAGGATCTGTTTGCACCACACGCAAGAAGGCAGGAGTTGGATATCCTCAACTTAGCGCTGTAGGTTTTGAAAGTGAACCAAATTAGGCTGATCCTTTCTATTGCATAGGTGAAGGATTTTATGTTCTGCCACAATTTTTTTAATGTTGATATGTATTTTAACTGTGTTTCCATGTCAGTTATTTTGTTTTTAGACCATGGAGTGCGCAGATGCTGCACACGGCTTGAATGGGCACGTAATAAGCGACGGTGGTTGCACAACCCAGGAGGATGTAGCTAAAGCGTTTGGTGGAGGTGAGTCACGCCATACAGTACTATTCATATGCGTTTCGCTATAGGCGCTACTCCGGTAAGGAATAATTATTAGCAGTCGTTTTTAGGCGCTGACTTTGTGATGATAGGAGGTCTATTGGCGGACATTGATCAAAGGTGGTGGTGAGTCTATATTGAAAAAGAACGGAGCGCGTGGCGTTGAACAATAGCGCCGCATTTTTTCTTACTTTTTAGAAATATAAGCTCTTCTATGGTATGAGCTCAGACACGGCAATGCATAAGCATCACGGAAGTGTTGCAGAATACAGGGCTAGTGAAGGCAAAACCATCACGATTCCTTATAGGTATGTCCCTTGTTCTTACTGACAATTACCTTCATTTTATTTTTATCTCTCAACATTTTCTGTTTATTTTTTGTACAATCGTGCTCTAGGGGAGACGTGAACAACACCATACAAGACATACTAGGAGGAATCAGATCTGCGTGCACTTATACTGGAGCGGCTAAACTTAAGGTATTGATTTTGTTGTGAATAGAGATGCTCACTCTGCATGCCTTTAGTTCTACCATTTTCATTGTTCAACCAGGAACTATTTGATTACTCAAGTAAATTTTTATCCCCCCTCTCCCTATGGTCCTCAAATGTTGAAGGCTGGCACTTACCCCTTGCGAATCGTCGTTGTGGTCTTTCGCAATGACCCTAAGCAGAAATGATCGAACAGTGATTTGCTATTTGATCGCTTCTATGCTCCTTGGGTCGAGTTCATATCCACGGACTTGCGGAGGGTCGGAGAATCAGCGAAAAAAGGAAAAAGTGCGTCTCACCAGGAGAGTCGGAGGATCTCTAATTCTTGGTAAAGTTGATACGGGTTCTTATTACTCTGGATCGTGATCTTCAATACGTTTCTCATCATCTGAGACATTTTTACGGTATTTCCAATTCCATAATTCTCCGATTGTCGGATTCCAGTGAAGAAAACCTATTTGGTTTTTGTCGCCGATTCTCTAGCGCTTCGGAAGCAAATCGATCGACCCCCATCCATTGTTTTCCACGGGTTTTCTAATTTTCCAATTATCTGATCTTACCATAGCACTATCAAGAAGTACAAAAGTGACTCACCTATACGTTTTGATATTGGTGTCAGCTGTGTGCCAGCTTGCTAGAACTCAGCGGGCTGTCAGGTCAGACCAAGAATTCGAATGAATACAATGTGGGAGGTAGAGAAGCTCTCTGGCATCCTGTCCAGCAATAGATTGGAATCGCATGTGTATTTTTATGACTTTCTGGGTAGACATTTTTTGAATTGGGTCCATCTATTTTTACAGCTTTCTTTTCGACAAGAAATTGCTAGTTTTTTTGGATCTTCTTCTAAATCCTTTTGGGAGATTTTGAAGTAAAACCTAGAAGGGAGTAGAGAAGATCGAACGAGTGAAAGTAAAAGGTATGTCACCTGAATTTCTCAGGTCCAGTCTATGTTTTTGATTCTGTTACGCAGACATCGTTCAAGTCCCTTATAAACATCCTCCCATCCCTGGCCAGTTTCCCTTATTGGATTTGGTTTGCGACGCTTCAATGCTGATTTTTGATTTGTTTTGGTTCAATCTTGCGATAGATGAGAGATAAACAGAAGTGTTTTGAAGTAATCTTAAATGCCGTAACTAGAGTACTTGTTAGTCTAGGAAGGAATTGAAAGGGCAAAGTTTTTACCTATTGATTCCTTGAGCTAAACCCAGAGTTGCGCCATTTTAGAGGCATTCTACTGTTTAGAATTTGTCCAATACTTTGAGATTTTTTCAGGAGCTCGCAAAACGTACGACATTTATCAGGGTCACGCAGCAAACGAATGACATGTACGTTCCTTATGAAGTCTAGTTTTCTATGCGGTTCATCTGCTACTTCGATAGAATATTGTTCCAGTTTCACTCACTTCTATTGTGATCGATTGTTATGTTTTATAAATAAAAATTTATGAGTTACTGAATTCTTCGAAAACGACAAAGAGAAGTTGGACTTCTTTCAACAATTCGACGACATATACCTCAATATAAACCAAATATGGAAGCTACTACTGTGTTCAGTATCGATTTGATGGCTAGTGGACGTATTGCGAAGAGTACGCAAACTAACGAATGAGACATGCATGCGAATCGAAATATCACATTATTTTACAGAGCGTAACGTCTGAAGATATCTGGCATTGGTCGAGTCTGTTAGTCACTCTGATGAGATCGATTACTTGATGAGTTCTTCGACAACCGAAATGTTGCCGGTACCGTCGACGGCACAAATCCACTGAATACACTCCAGCTTATGACCCCAATCGGCATGTGAATCGTCTTTTTCATAGAACTTGCTTTGTAGTTGACGTTTCAAAATCCCTCCTGGACCCTGAAAATCACAAGATTACTGGAATCTAAGGCGTACAATGGTTCTAGACACAAATTCGACTGCTGTAACCAACCCTCTCTGACTTCATCTTACCCCACTGACGTAATTGTCGCTTATCTTTTTGAAAGAGATAGGATATTAGATCAGTCTAATTTGCACAACTAGCCGCGCAATGTTGAAGGAGGGTTCTACGATAATGCTAGAGGTCGAAGATGGGGAAACCTACCCAGTGTAAAGATCACTCCTGAGGGTGCGGATCGACACGCAATTCGCTGCGAAGGAAATGCCCCGCCGATCTAGCAAGGTCATCCCACGCCCCTTTCGTCGCTGCCCGCCCACCCTGTGCCATCTGGCTCTAGCCCCTAATAAGGAAAGCGCTATATGATGACGTCAACGCTAATGAACACGCCTAGCGCGCAAACCAACGTAAGAAGAGGTATTTTATTCCTCTGGTTTTTTTTTTAGTTTTTGCTTCGTCCCTGCATCACTGACTACCTCTACCATGATTTCGAGTGTGCTGTCTTTTCATCGTGCACTCTGCCTTTAATGCACAGTCATTGGTTCGTTGATTGATCGGGTTTGCCAGTTGAATTCCAGCATTTTATGACCTTTCATCTTATGATTAGCTCAGTATGACAAGCAGGTAACAACAGGAGAGCTACCACGAATAATTTTTGATTCCTCCCCCCCCCCAAAAAAATGTCAACTTTCAGGAGTGTTGGTGCCTTTGATACGTGCACGATGTCTTGGAATTTATACTAAGACATTGAAGGTCCATCAAATCATTGCATCTCTTCTCGAAGTCAGCTTAGGGTCATCATAAGGCTGGCGTCACCCACGCAAGCGAAAAAATTCGCAGTGCACTCGATGGACAGTTCTTTCGCACGCAGTAGGCCTTCATGAAAGCTTGTAGGATCACGTTCAGATTGATAGCCAACGAATGAGGCTCGATTGGCGAATGTATCAGGTTTTTGAAAAACTAGCTCCATCAAACCCGCAGTGGGAAACTCTTCACTTCTCAGAACGCCTAATTTCTAGGGAGGATGAAAAAGAAATCAGTCTGGTAGTCTAGCGGGAGATCTTAAGAATATGGCATCTACAAATAAGCTCAAGTGCATCTATGATTTGGCGTCGAACGAGAACCTTTAAGACGCATTCGATTGCTGAGGCCATAATATAAAAATTAGGAAAACAAAAAAGGCATACTCTACCTATAGGTCCGTTCTCCGAGACAAAATATGTATGTTACTGGGTAATAATTCGGTTGTTCAAATTACTTGGCCCCGGCGACGTTCGACTTGGCCTCCATAGCAGAGCATAGGCAGTCATAGGCGATAGCTGTAGTGGCTACTACGCCATCTCCAACTTTGTGAAGAGGAAGCTGTTGTTGTTAGAAAATAATGAGGAAGGTATCCCATGCATGGGAGCAAAAAGTATCAAAAAGGAAGCCCACAATAAAGTTTTGGTAGTAGTAGGGCCAATAAGCGCCCATAAAGGCAGTATTGTTAATGGGAAAGCGAATGGAGAGAAGATTCTATTCATATCTCAGGCACGAAAAGGAGTCTCCCATAGGGCGACGTAATAACTTGCGAATCGAGCGATTCGCAAACTATGGAGTCCCTCATATGAGAACGGCTATGCATTTTCAAATGGGTAAGAATAAGCTTTTCACTCGCTTTCCCCCAAAACCGCAGAAAAAAAATCAAAATTCACGAAAATTCAAGGAATATATTCCGCTAAAATACGGTTACTGTAGCAAATGGTTCTCCTGGCTCCCGTCACCCGTATAGTCTTCAGGGAAGGCGATACAGGGATGTGGGAGGGTTATTTGTCTACTTGAAATTCCTTCTATGTTTCTTTCGCAGGGATGCCAAAGTGCAAATGGATAGAAGACAAGTAGCTGCTGCAACCCCAAACGATGTCGGACATGAGACCCGTGATATATGTATGTAGGGGATGCGGTCAATACAGGGGCTGGTGCTGCGCGAGCCACATTTTGCCTGGCAAATTCGGAACGTTCGAAGTCAATGCATTACTGCAGGTGTCAGACTTTGCGACCAATAAGCGAATCGCGTCCGGTAGCGGTAGCATTCTTTTGTCGTGTAGAGGGGGCAGAGAAAACAGACAAATGGGCGAATGCCCCTATAAGGCTAACTGCCAACAGCAACCGCCAGGAGTGTTACGGTTACACACCGACATATTCTGAACTTATAATCTGCTCGAGAGCAGCACTTTGCGGGTGAAAGGGTCGAGTTAAAGTAGACCGTAGATGTTGCGAGAACTACAGGGCCATAACAAATAAGGTAGTCACAGGTCTTAAGCCAAAATCCGTAATAACTGTAATGTTAGTCTATGTACTCAAAATTTATTCCGTTCCTAGCGTCCTTTCTTTGCCAATATAACCACACGTCCGCGCACTACCTTAGTGCATAGTCTATCCCAACTCGGTCAATCGAAAAGCTAACTAACCATACACCACTCTTTCCGGATCGTCCGTTATGCAACTGTAAAGTCGCAAACGGGATCACGACGTCCCCGCACTTAATCACCCAGCTGGACTTTTCCAAACACGGAAGTCGTGTCTGTTATGGACCCAGTAATGATTAGTAAAAGAGCCATTCGGTGAGTTAGAGAACCGCACATCTAACTCCTTATTTTTTGAGGTCGTAGCATGAAATTCGTCGCCTCCATGCGCTTACATCAACACGCTCCGCTCGCATGCCCTCGCTACAATAACCTCGGCAATATTACATCTGTCGTTTCTGAGTTGAATGACTAATCTCATTCAGAGGCCATAGAGATATCTGAGAAATTATGCGAGGCAAGTATTGACCGCAAAGCGTATCTCCACTTCACAAGAGATAATAACGCGCGTATTTCCCGTCACGGCATAAGAAAACTACAATCATTCTCCACAGTATCCGTCCACTTTTCGGGGGCATCCTCCCCACGGATAGCGGTGTGCCATTTAACACTCTCTCTTGGCATCACTACACCCCTCTAGTGCACTAGAAGACTTACGTTTTATTGCCACCGGACCTTTCAGTTAGTAACTTCTGGTGTCACAACTCTCTGACTTGCGAACATGTCTCGATCAGGCAAAGAAGCATACCTGCTCGCGAGACTATTTCTGATGAACAAAAACAGGTAGCGGGCCTACGCACCCATTAACGACATTGCCCTTCACTCTTCTAGCTCCACGGAGTTCCACTCATATCTCATTCTTTCTTATCCATAAAGAATGCACAGAAGCTACACTGCCCAGAGCGTCACCTTTGAGACCCGTGCATGAATGCACCGCGAGTTTCGCAAGACCTCAAGTCTCGCAGGCCATACTTGCGACAGCGCGCACGGCCCTGCGCGCTTCAATGCGATTGCACATCTGAGCACCGCGTCAACCGGAGATTTTACAACCGCCGTTCCTCACGAAGCTCTATCTCCGTTTTCCACCCACTTCACTCCGACTAGAACTCGGCAACCCACCGTCGCTCGCATACGCGCCTACAACGCACGATCGGAATCTCGCGAGCAGACTGCTCAATTGTCGTCGAACACAATATGGATGACGCGCTCCAATCCGCAAAGTCTGACTCCGCCAATCGAGGCACCTGAAGCATGGACAGGATTTAAGTGGCGAGCAATGGATTGAAGTTGACCTTAAAGTGGCTCATGAGCTGTTGTAGCACTTGCTTTAGCCGGAGGAGGCAAAAAGAATAGAGCAAGAAGCCATACGTCTCGCAACGTAAGATAGTCAAAGTGATTACTGGAGTCAACTTCCGACTAACGACTAAATACTCGTTATAAACGAATAAGCCCGCCAACACATTCTCAACGTACATCCTGTTCTAAATCCATAGCTTATCACCAATATGTGCCTTTCTGCCCGCATTATGCACTGTTACTTCTCGCGTCCCCAGAGAGAGGCCGGCGAGTGAAAAAGTCACTTGACGACATCTTTTTTTCATTAATAAGCCGCTCTAGACGAACGTGGTAAACTAATCGTGATCGAGAACGCTCAGAGCGGACGCACGGGCTCCGCGTACCAACGGATGGGTCTGACTCCGACTAGAGGCTGCCCGAATCCTGCACGGTAATCCTGAAATTCCACACCCGGTATTATCTGCGGTGTGGGAGGCTACCCCAATCTGTTCACATACAGTCCACCTGTTTTGGACCTAATACAGTAGGAGGAAAGTGTGGTAAATACAATTTGCTACGAGAGGAAAATCAGATAGGGTCAGCCAGTTGGAAAACCTGACATATCGAAGTTTAGTCTCGGTATAGGCGTGCGATCGTATGTTCAATCAAAGAAAAACCCCATGAGAATCAAATTAAACAAGCCCCACAAGTCATAGACGAGAGTCTAATAAGAGCGTTATAAACAAAGCTATAGCGACGATGCTCAATTTTGTCAGTTGTGAATCGCGGAGACCTGGGCCACGAAGACCAGTGCACATTGGGCCGCCATGATACATGAAATACAA